AGAAAACTGGCGCTCAGGGATGAGGCATCTGGTCACATGAGGAGGTGGGTATCTCTGGACTCCTGGTATGATGCTCACTCAGCCTGCTCTGGGCCCTGAAGCTTCAGCCACCTCCTTACTGGAGGACCAGCCTGAGCTGTTGTATGTCCTCCTCATCACTGGGTTGTAGCCTCTTCTTCCTCCTGGTCAGTCTCCAGACCCTAAGCTGCACCTGCAAATACTAAGGCCTCCTCTGAGGGTGGTTCTGAGCTGGGGGGTTTTGGGGACACAGATATGAATTGGCCTTCTGGGGGCTCCCAGGCTGGTATAGGAGGAAAAATAAGGCACAGACAGTTCCAGTCTGGAGGGATTAAGGGGATTAGAGGGAAGAAGAGAGACTGTAGGAGGACTGTGCCTGGAAAAGTCATGGAGGGCATCGTGGAGGAGGAAGCATTTGCACTGGGAATTGATGTAGGAATAGGAGTTTGCCAAGTAAAAGAGGGGAATACATTCATTCATTCACTCATTCTTTTTACAAACATGTCCTGAGGCATTGTGTGGGTCAGTTGTTCAAGGATGACTCATGCATTTATTCATTCAGTCTAACTTTGTTTAGGGAAAATAACACAATGGTTAAGATTTCAGATCCTGGAGTCAGTCAACCTGGATTCTTTTCTCAGTTGTTTCATTGACTGAATGGCTCAGTTATTTAAGCTTGCCTCGGCTTTCCCCCTTGATAAAATGACGACAGCAATAGTATTGTCCTCACAGGCTTCTTGGAAGAATAAATTAAAATGGGACTTCCCTGGTGGTCCAGTGGTTAAGAATCTGCCTGGCAATGCAGGGGATGTGGGTTCAATCCCCTGTCGGGGAACTAGGATCCCACGTACCTAGGGGTGACTAAGCCCAAGAGCCAGAATTAGAGAGTCCAAAATGAAAGATCCTGAATGCCTCAACCAAGACTCAGTGTAGCCAAATAAACTGACTAATTAAAAAAGATTTAAAAAAAAATAAAGCATACTCTAAAAAATAAAGTATACTATTTAAAAAAAGAGAGGCTAAATTAAATTGAGGCCTGTGTAGGCACACTGCCCCTACGTAGTTGACACCTTGTTCCTGCCTTGGCTTAGCCTGAACCTCTCAGAGACTTCACGTGCAGTGAAGGTGATACCTGGTTTAGTCTGGTGTGGCACAGTTGTAGGGAAGGGTTTCTAAGGGAGGGTGGCACTCAGTTGGGTTCTGAAGCTTGAGTAGGAGTTTGTGCATGCGACCAATAGGGTAAAGTGGTCCAGAATGAGGAAATGGAAAGGAGAAAGCCTGGATGGGTGCATGAAACCATGCGGCTTGTTCTAGGAACTGCAGAGCAGAAGGAAGGGACCTGGTGAGCCTGGCGGTTGGTGATGGGGGTGGAGCCTCGGTAGGTTAGGGCTGCAAAGGCCAGGCTGAGGAGCTCAGATCTCATCCTGGGGACGATGGGAAGGCAGCGCTCAGGTACACAAGCTGATCTTTGGTTCAGAGATGGGGAAACTGAGACGCATCCTCAGACCTGCGTGGTGGCCCCTCCGATTTCCAGCCCTCTGATTTATATCCACTTGTGTGCGGTCCCATCCTGGGTCCTCTGGGAGAGACCAGGCCTGGGGCTGCTGCTCAGACTCCCTGGGAAACCCCTGCCTCCCACCCGCTGGCGAGCTCAGGACAAGGAAACAGAGTGGAGAGACGGAGGCCCGTGAACAGAGCAGGACCCCCAAGAGCTAACATCCCGGCCTCCGAGGTTGCACAGGCGTGAGTGCACATCCAGGCTCTGCTTTGTCAGCTTTGATTGTGAGCAAGTGAATTTCCCTGCCCCAAGCCTCAGTTTCCCCATCTGGAAAATGGGGCTGTTAAGAGTGCAGCCACCCAGTGGGGCTTGGCACAGCCAGGGTCCTGCAGTCCTGGAAGGATACAGGTCTCCTGAGAGGATGGCCGAGGCCAGCAGGGGTGAAGCGCATGAGCCTGGAGCCAGGTGCTAGTTCTGGGAGTGGTTGGAGGTGATGATGCCTTGAGGACAGGAAAAGGGTGGGCCAGGGGACCACCCTGGGGTCTCCACCCTAGGATGTGGGCTGGGGACTTTGGCCAGGGGTCCTGGGGAGCCAGGGGTGGTCTGTGAGCAGGGGAGGAGGGACGGGCTCACTCTGGACTGGATGGGATGACTGGAGGCAGGGAGGCCCGGGAGGAGGCTGGGCTGAGCATCCAGTCAGGTGAGTTGGAAGCCTGCACTGGGCCGTGATGGTGGGGTCGGGTCAGAGGGGACAGGGCAGAATCAGGGTGAGACTGTGAGGGGAGAGGGGAAGGGAGGGAGAGGGGGCCATGCCTGGGCATGGGGGGACAGTGGGCCGTCCCTGAGACGGGGAAGTCGGTGAGGGGGCTGGGTGTGGGGCTTGCTGACGTGGAGGCCTGTCGGTCCCGACAGCATCATCCCGCCCCTGGGGGACCCTTTGGAGACTTGGCCGCCGTCATCCCCCAGAGCCCCGAGCCCACCGGAGGCCGCCCTCTTCCTCCTCTAACCCCGGCNAGTGTCCTTGCCTGGAGAATCCCATGGACGGAGGAGCCTGGCGGGCTGTGGTCCATGCTAGGGCTTCCCAGGTGGCTCCAGGTTATTGCCAGGACTCAGCAATGCAATACTGGGCTATAGGACTTTCGGAGCTAAAACCGTGAAAGGCTCATACCCACTGGGATGTCCTGGTCCCCATAGGTAGGACCGAGCATCACAGAACAGCTCTGGACACCCGGATTTTCTGGGCCCCCGAGACACCCATTATCATTCACCTTCTCTCACTGCCTTTTGAAACACGCATGCGCCTCCTAAGCATCTCTCCAGTGGCCCAGCCTCTGGGGAAGGATGTCGTTGGTAATCTTTGGTTTTCAAACTCCCTCAGGTTTCTAAACTAAAGGTTAATTTTTGCTCCACATTCTGAGTCCTTTGATGTATCCATAGAGCTACTTTAGAAACCTGCTAAGCTCCAGTGGGGAAAGCCTCTCTCTTCTGTCTTTGGAAAACGCATTGCTAGGATGCCTTTCCTGACGTGGTCTGCCCATTAGCATCTCCTGGGGGAGCTTTTAAAATCCAAATCAATGCCCAGGCCCCATCCCCAGGCGTTGTGGTTTAAGTGGTCCAGAGTAGAGCTGGGCTCTGGGAGTTTCAAAAGCTCCCCAAGGAGTCCCAGGGCTGCGGGCGGAGCCCCATCCATCTCCAAGTGCCTGTGGTTGTGAAAATGCAACCTCGATAGCTCCCAGGGGACTGAGAAAACCCAGCCCTCAATGGCTGAAAACCCTGGAGGTGGGAGTAGGGGGGCGGGGAGGACACAAAGATCAATTTCTTTGTCAATATTTGTTCGCTTCACAAGCACTGATAGCCAAGACCCATGGGGGTCGAAGAGGAGTCAGATCTTATTCTGCAGCCCCACCCTCAGGCTCCCAGTCACAACCGAGAAGGGTGAGGAGTGGGGAAGGTGTGAGGGGTAGGGAGACTGATTCTGATCAGGAGGGGTTTTACGAAGGCTTTCAGGTGGGGCTGACACAAAATAGAGGCGGACGCCCAGGCTGGGAGTGCAGCATGTGCGATGGCCCTGGGGTGTGTTTTTCTTTTTTTTTTTTTAATAAAACCATCTCTGGGTTATATATGGAATTTGCCTCCCAATGCAGGAGACACACTCACACTTGGAGACCTGGATTCGATCCTTGGTGTGGGAAAATCCCCTGGAGAAGGAAATGGCAACCCACTCCAGTAATCTTGCCTGAAAAATCCCACGGACAGAGGAGCCTGGTAGGCTACAGTCCATGGAGTCACAAAAGAGTCAGACACGACTCAGCAACTGGGCCAGGGTATACTACAGCGGGGGAGTGGGAAGTGGGTAAGATTTTAAAAAAGAAAGCCTGGAGGGCTGTCAGGTTAGATACACCTTGCTGCGATGCCAGTCTGCTGGGCTGGGACAGCTGTCCCGGGGCAGGGGCTGTGAGCAGGGACTGGTCAGCTCTGCTTGTAGAAGGGCCCCTGCGAGGACTGGAGGAGAGAGATGGGGGGTGGGGGAGGGGGGGGCGAAGGTCCAGAGAGAGAGGAAGCCTCAAGAACGGCTTTCCCCGCCCAGGTCACAGAATTCCGGTTTTGCAGAAATCAACTAACTTCCCTACTAGAACCAGGGGGACCAAGTTCTGGCTGGGAACATGGTCCAACACCGCCCCCGTGTGGTCATTCTCAGTTTTGCAAACAAAGTGCTGTGTGCTGAGTCGCTTCAGTTGTGTTCAACTCCTTTGTGACCCTATAGACTGTAGCCCGCCAGGCTCCTCTGGCCATGGGATTCTCCAGGCAAGATTACTGGAGTGGGTTGCCATTTCCACCCCCAGGGGATCTTCCAGGCCCAGGGATCGAACCCGCATCCTCTTAAGTCTCCTGCCCTGGCAGGCAGGCTCTTTATCACTAGTGCCACCTGGGAAGCCAGCCCCTCTATAAGTAAGACTACCTTTTAAATCAGGACACTTTCAGGAATTAAAGAAAAGCGCTTCCCTGATGGCTCAGTGGTAAAGAATCCGCCTGCCAGTGCAGGAGACGTGGGTTCGACTCCCAGTCCTGGAAGATCCCACGTGCTTCGGAGCAACTAAACCTGTGCACCGCAACTATCAGTCGCCCACATGCTGCAACTACGGAAACCCCTGAGCCTTAGAGCCCGTGCTCCGCAACAAGAGAAGCCACTGCAATGAGGAGCCTGCGCACCACAACTAGAGAGGAGCCCCTGCCCGCTGCAACTAAAGAAAGCCCTCACAGCAATGAAGACCCAGCACCGCTAAAAGTAAGTAAATAAAAAAGAAGAAATGAAGAGGATACGATTCCCAATTATACTGGAATAACTGGCCCAGAGTGTTTGCATTCCGCAAGCCAAAATTACAGTAAGACTATAAATCAATTCCTAATTAGAATTTGATAGGCCTTCCCTGGGAAATCCAGGATGTTCAGTCACTCTGCTCAGAAGTCTCCTTTTGAAATCTTGAAATGAAATGTTTATCTGATGGAAAAAAATGAATAAAGCTCAACTAAAGGCTAGGGTATCCCCCAGGGCATTCCACTTCCTGGGGGTGGAGAGAGGGAGTGGGGAGGAGGCAGTTAGTGAGGGAGGGGGTAACTGGCTATGTGTTTGGAGGCCTGGATACTTTCATAGTAAGGGGCATTTACAGTGGGTATTGAAGGCTGAATAGGAGTTTGCTAAGAGAAAGATGTGTTGATATAATGTAACAGTAAAGATGACCACTACAGACCCTTTGTAGCTTGCAAATTCCATTCACATCTTTCATGTCAGGTTGTCGTTTCAGCCTTTTGGAGTCCAAGGAGAAAACCAAGGCTCAGAGAAGAAATAAATCTGAAGTACACAGCAGTCTGTGTTGGTACCTTGTGGGGAATCAGCCCTGTTATTTCTCCCCTCTGTGCTCTTGCATACAAGTTGGAATGTCTTTCCCCCATCTAAACTCTGACAGACTCCTACTCATCCTTCAAAACCCAGCTCGATGACTGGACCCCTAGGCTCAAATCTGAGAGCCTATCTTGCTAGTCCCCAACTTCCCCAGACCCAGGAGTCCAGGCTTCCTCTCTCTGACCCAGAAGCCTGGACCTCAGACAGAGCTGGCCGGAGGCGGTGTGCCTGCCAGCCTGGTGAGATGGAGCAGGGTGTGCTGACTCAGTCACATTTATTTGGTCTCAGAGGCCAGAGTCATGGTTGGGACAGAGGCAGGACTCTTGGGTTAGGTGGTCCTGTGTCTTCTCATTGCTGAGCCTACGAGAGGAAAAGAGACAGAGAGAGCCATAGAAACAGAGATGATAACACAGGCCGAAGCGACTGAGATCTAGCCTGCCACCTCCACCCTCTTCCCACTCACCTTGTTGAAGAAGTAGATGGAAGCGAGGATCGTGAATACGGCCATGGCCAGGGTCACATTCTGGATGGAGGGGTCAGAGGTCAGGACCCGTCCCTTCCCTTCACCCCCACCCCTGCCCTGGGGCACCGCCCTCCCGCCCGCTGGGCCCCTCCTCACTTCCTGAAAGTTCATGGCCATGACTTCCAGACTCTGGGCTGCTTGGCCTCCCTCTCCCTTTCCTGAGCCTCTGAGCCAGACAGAGAAGACCAGCCGGCGGAACCCTGAGGGGAGACCAGAATGGTGGCCATGGTGACCAGAGAAGGGCATTCTGGGTAGAAGGGACCTCGCCCCGGAGGCTTGGGGGAGGCGGGCACTTGGATACAGGGGGCATCTGAACTCTGAGATGGGAGAAGCCAGACCTATGGCCCCAGAGGGTGCTGGGGAGCCACGGGAGGGCCGCAAGCAGGGGAGGAACAGGATCAGCTCTAAGTGGCAGCGATATCTCTGAGCAGGAGCTGGAGGGAGGCTGGAGACCAGAAGAGCAGGTGAGGTGGCCCAGGCAAAATTCCCTCCGACGGTGTCCACCAGATGCAAGCTTGAGAGACACGCAGTGGGGGAGCTGAGCCTTCCAGAGCCGGGTCACCAGTTTTGGGGGCGGGAGCAGCAGTTGGTCAGTCGGTCATTGCCAACTCTTTGTGAACCCATGGACTGCAGCACACCAGGCCTCCCTGTCCTTCACCATCTCCCGGAGCTAGCTCAAACTCATGTCCATTGAGTCGGTGATGCCATCCAACCATCTCATCCTCTGTCACCCCCTTCTCCTCCTGCCCTCAATCTTTCCCAGCATTTTCCCAGTCTTTTCCAATGAGTCAGTTCTTTGCATCAGGTAGCCAGCGTATTGGAGCTTCAGCTGCAGCATCAGTCCTTCCAATTCAGGGTTGATTTCCTTTAGGATGGACTGGTTGGATCTTCTTGCAGTCCAAGGGACTCTCAAGAGTCTTCTCCAACACCACAGTTCAAAAGCATCACTTTTTCGGTGCTCAGCCTGCTTTATGGTCCAACTCTCCCATCCAGACATGACTACTGGAAAAACCACAGCTTTGACTGTAAGAAACTTTGTTGTCTAGGTGATGTCTCTTCTTTTAAATAGGCTGTCTAGGTTGGTCGTAGCTTTCCTTCCAAGGAGCAAGCATCTTTTCATCTCATGGAGCAGCAGTTATGAAGGTAGAAATCATGGCGCAGGTAACAACTTCCCCATCTCTGGGCCACGGGCTTAGTGATGCGCCTGGGACTCCCCTGGCCCTCTGGTGACCCCTGTTGTTTACTCCACCAGCCCTCCTTCTCAGTAGGTGGTGTCTGTAGACACATGAATCTCTTTGGGTCCATCATGCCTTCAAGACTAATTTCGAGGTTAGGAGTGACATGGAGGACAGAGACACCAGTGCAGTCAGCCCTCATTATCCACGATTCTGTCTGCACAGAGTGGCTATAGTTTTGAGTCTGAGGACATGCACACTCCCAGCTGTGGCTGATCGAGGTGATAGTTCTCGGTTTTCCTGTCTCAGCTGTCAGCAGGGAACAGCCTGGAGGCTAGAGACAGGAGGAAGGGGAGGGCGGGGCTCAGGAGGAACTCCAGGTTCAATGGGTGATTTTTGAACTGGGTTCTGGTTTGGATATATCAGCTGTACATGATATTTGGGATGACATATGGGACCTCTGAGAGTGGGTATTATATGAGGTGAAAGTATTGTTGATGTGGAAAGTAGGAGATCATTACAAAATTTCAAGATCTCATTTCAGTAAAAAGCACACAAATATTTTAAAAATGTGTGTGGGAACTTCTCTGGTGGTCTGGTGGTTAAGACTGCGCTCCCAAGGCAGGTAAGACTGTGCTTCCAATGCAGGGGACACAGGTTCGATCCCTGGTCGGGGAACTAAGACCTTGCATACAGCTTGACACAGCAAATAAATAACATTAAAAAAAAATGTGTTGAAAAATCTGGAAGGATGTTCTGTCTCAGTATTGCAGCAGAAAGTGGCAGGTGCAGTTCAAAAAGGTTTGGTTGGAAAGAATTTAATGCAGGGCTCATGTTCACAGCTGGTGGGATGGTGCAGGGCTGGGCTTAGAAAAATCAGGGAGCTGCTGCCACCCAGTAGGAATTGAACTGAATCCCTCCCAAAGGTCAGTTCAAGTCCTCACCCCTGGTACCCATATATGTGACTTCATTTGTAAATAGGGTCTTTGCAGATGTAAATCAAGTTAAGATCAGGTCTTAACCAGTGTCCTTATAAGAAGAGACACCCCGTTTTGACAGACTGGAGTGATGCTCCCGAAAGCCAGGGAATTGTCAACGACCCTGGAAGCTAGGGAGAGCCTGGGAACCGATCCTTCCTCCCAGGAGGGACCAACTTCCCACTTGATTTCAGACTCCTGGCTGCCAAAACTGTGAGACAATAAATTTCTGATGGCTAGGGACTTCCCTGGTGGTCCAGTGGTTAAGAATCTGCCTTCCAGTGCAGGGGACTCTGCATTGATCCCTGGTCAGGGAACTAAAATCCCACAAGCTCGGGGCAACTAAACCTGCACTCCACAACTAGGGAGAAGCCCACACACTGCAGCTAAGACCCAACACAGCCAAATAAATGAATAAATATTTTTAAAAAATTAATTAATTTCTGGTACCTAAACCAGCCAGTTTGCAGTCCTTTATTACGGCAGCCCTAGTGAATCAATCCACACTCCTAGGCATCAAGGGGGCTTCCCCAGTGTCTCAGTGATAAAGGATCCACCTGCAACTCAGGAGCCATAGGAGGCATGGGTTCAATCCCTGGGTCGGGAAGATCCCCTGAAGGNGGAGCCATAGGAGACATGGGTTCAATCCCTGGGTCGGGAAGATCCCCTGAAGGAGGGCATGGCAACTCATTCCAGTATTATTCTTGCCTGGAGAATCTCCATGGACAGAGGAGCCTGGTGGGCTACAGTCCATAGGGTTGCAAAGAGTTGGACACAACTGAAGCGATTTAGCACACACACACGCAGGCATCAAGTGGTGAGAACCATGTCACCAGACCCTCAAGGGACAGGGTCCTCCCCTAAGAAAGCACCATCCTCGGAGTTCCTGCTCCTCTCACTGGCTGACCCCAAATGGGATCCAGAGAGCAGAGGGGCCAGGATGGTGCTGAAGACAGAAGGCCTCCTTAAAGGCACAGAACCGGAAGGAGTAGGGCAGAAAGTGTGCAGAGGGGTGGGGCGGGCTGCCCCTTATTTTCTTGCGTGGTGGGCTGAGTCATAACCCCAAACTGCCCACACCCCAACCCCCAGAACCTTGTATTTCCCTCACACGGCTTAAGGGACTTTGCAGCAATGATTACGTTAAGGATCTTGAGTTGGGGCTTGTCTTAATCCGTTTGGGCCACTCTAACAGAATACCACAGATGAGGTGGCTTCTAAACAACACAAATCTCTTTCTTCTAGTTCTGGAAGCTGGAGATCCAGAGATCAAGGTCCTGGCAGATTCGGTGTCTGATGAGAGCCGGCTTCTTGGTTCACAGATGGCCAGTTACTTGATGTGTCCTCTTGTGATGGGAGAGACCAGGGAGCTCTCTGTGGTGTCTCTTATTTTATTCATTTATTTGGCTGCGCCAGGTCTTAGCTGCGGTACACAGGATCTTTAGCTGCAGTACACAGGATCTTTAGCTGCGGCGTGCGGGGATCTAGTTCCTTGGCGCACAGGCTTAGTTGCTCCATGGCGTGTGGAATCTTCCCAGACCAGGGATTGAAGCTGGAAGCCATGTCCCTGCATTGGCGGGTGGATTCTTATCCACTGCACCACAAGAGAAGTCCTCATTATGTTTTAGAGTGACCCGTTACACAGCAATAGATAACTGACATGCTGAGTAGTTACTCTGCACACCCTTGGAATAAGTGCTGAACACACTGCATTGCATTGCGTGCTCAGTGGCTTAGTTGTGTCTAACTTTTTGCGACCCCCATGGGCAGTAGCCCGCCAGGCTCCTCTGTCCATAGGATTTTTCAGACAAGAATACTGGAGTGGGTTGCCATTTCTTCCTTGGGGGAAATCTTCCCAACCCAGAGATCAAACCTGCATCTCCTATATTTCCTGCATTGGAAGGCAGATTACCAGTGAGCTACTGGGGCTCCCAATCTATTAGAACTTGTCAATTCTCAAAGAACCTCTCTGAGGTACAGACCGTGTTTGTCCCCATTTTATGAATAAGAAAACAAAGGCACAGACAAGGTTCAGTAACCTGCCCCAAATCACACAGCTTTATATGTGGCAAAGCTGGGGTTTGAACCCAACCTGTCCCAACTCCAGGGTATGGGTGTTCAGCCTCTGGGCTTGTTGGCTTTGGCCAGCTGTGAGTGGCACTGAAAGAAGATGAAATCACCAAGAAGTTCAAGAGAACCTCAAAGAACAGACATGGCAGGCATAGCGGGGAGGGAGGAGAGGGCAGGGTCTAGAATGTGGGACAGGGGTGGGGGTCTCCCTCCCTCTGCACCCACTCTCAGGGCACTAGGCTCAGACCCCAGCTCTGCCGCTCACTAGCTGTGTTCTCTCAGGCAGACTGCCTACCCTGGCTGTGCCTCAGTTTTCCCATCCGCACCATGGAGACGGAGGCAATCAGATCAACACCTCCTGGGGTTGTGGGAAAGATTAAACTGACGCATCCCCAGTGAATCCATGGCTGACAGAGGCCCTGGGAGGTGGGGGTTCTGGATCCAGGGGGAGGCGTGCTGGGACCTGCTCTTCTGGTGGGGGGGGTGCTGGGGCGGGGGTAATGAGCAGGTGGGGCTGTGGCGCAGACAGTGCGCTGAGCTCAGCGTCTGGCTGTGTGGAGATGGCCGGGCAAGGGTTTCGGGGCCACCCCGCCGGACCTCTCCTGCTGCTGCTGCTGCTGCTGCCCCCGGCCCTGACGGAAGGACCCCTGGTCTTCGTGGCGGTGGTGAGCTGCCCCCTGCCCCGGCCCAGCCCCTCACGTCCCCCAGGCCGGCCCTGACCTGGTCCCCTCCCCAGGTGTTCCGCCATGGCGACCGGGCCCCGCTGGCCTCCTACCCCACTGACCCGCACAAGGAGGTTGCATCCACCCTGTGGCCACGTGGCCTGGGCCAGCTGACCGAGGTGAGACGCTGGGGATGGAGCAAGGGGTGGGGCGGGGGCGGGGAGGGGTCCGCTGAGCCGGCTCTGTCCCCAGGAGGGGGTCCGCCAGCAGCTGGAGCTGGGCCGCTTCCTGAGGAGCCGCTACGAGGACTTTCTGAGTCCCGAGTACCGGCGGGAAGAGGTACGGCCATGCT